AAAATGGGCACAAATTTGCGCAAAACGAAGCTGGCACTGTTAATGTATGCTCACATAAAAGTGGGGATAAGTGTAGGGTCTGCCATCGCTGCAGCCAACAGTATACTGATTGTTGTGTCAAGCAACACGTAAATGAGAAACTTCCAAATCAGGGCGTACTTTTTGCTGAATCGTTTGACATTGTTCTCCTCATTTTAACTTCGCTGACTCCTCCTATCATGCTAGTATTCCTGCCGTGTTGTGTAGCTCAGGCATTTAGGCGTCGACGACGACGATAATACCAGTTGAAAGTGACAACCGTCCGTTTATTGTAGCATAATTCCTCACAATGAAAAATTATCTTTGTTTAATGCTGTTATGAGAGGTATTGGGGTTGGTCTGATGATGATGATAATGATGGTGTTGGCGTTGGTGAGGTGGTGATGAACTGTTTATGACCGGTCCGGAAAAGTTGTTTGCACCTTATCTGAGCCGCCATTACTAACTGCAAACGTCGAAAACAGTACTGCCTTTCATTTCGTGATCTCTGCTAACATGTCTTGACTATCTTTGACCTGAAATGTAGCTGCATGCCAATGAAGTTCACTACACATCCGATAGATTTGTGTATGCATATTCCCAGATGCTAGCCATGTTCAGCTGGACGCCCAGTTCCGTGAACCCTACGCCTGATCTACATAAACGTCCGTTAATCCGTATCCACCCATTTGGATCCTCGTTGACCTGCTATCTCCTTTTCCGCGAACGCAGCGAATCAAAATTTACGTTCGCTTTCTGACACCTATGGAAACCTGTGCCCACCACTCTCATAGATAAGTTCTCTGCTCGTCAGTATTTCAACTCTGGGTGCACACAAACACAGCTTTCTCTCTATTTCTAATTCTTGAAACGTTGACTAAATAAACAATTACTCCACAGATCGTCCTACCGTTTTTCGCCCATGTGTTCTTGTCGACATGTCTTCACATACATATATTTGAAATAGGTAAGATTTTTTTGGGAAAAAATAAGCTTTATTAAGTAAATTTTCGGGACTGGTCGCGATGTGTGTTCTGTTTGGGGCCTTGTTTCTTGCTTTATACGTCCACATTTTTTCGAAGAATGCCGGTAGTCCCTCTTGACTTTCGCGTTGCATATTTCAGGGTTAGTATTGCGGGCTGCAGTTAAGGGTAAGGGTTAGGGTTAAAGGGTTAGAGTCACTGTTGGGGTTAGTGTTAGGGGTTAGGGTAAGGGGCTAGAGTTAGGGATTATGGCCAGTGTTAAGGGTTAGGGTTAGAGATTCGGACGACTATTTCCCAACCATTTAAAGTAGGACCGCGCATTGTCAATAGCTTTTATTCTGCATACAATTATTTAACCTTGTCGCCTGTGCAATCCCCGGCCAGGCGGCTGAGTTTTCTTTCCCTCAGATTAGGCTACATATTCACGTCTGACCGATGGTTCTTCACCTAAAATAACACGACCTTGAAGCATGTTTACTTAAGATTGCTGCGCAGCAATCCTTTCTGGTCTAACCAAAATGTATAGGGTCCATCGCGATCGCGGTTACGGGTTAATCTAACGAATAGCTGCAACTTCCAATTCCTACATCATGACCATTATTATAGTCGTAATTATAAATGGTTTACCTAATTTAATTTTTTATTATTTACTACTCAAAGATAATGACGTCAGGTCGACAAAAATAAACATTTCCGACATCTTTTATTTGACTTCAATAGGCGTGATTGGCAGAGAACCAAATTACCACGGGTTCTCACGTGCAAGTGCTCAAGAGAGGTGCGGCGTTGGGCCTGACTCTCGGAGAAAGGCCACTACAAGACCATTTGGGCCAGACATANCTGAGTCCACCCAAATGTGTCTTCTTTACTTCGGCTCACCGAGGCTGATTATGTCACAATGAAATTAAGAATATGCAGGTTACCGGGCATTTGAATTTCTCACCTTACCTTGACATATGCTTCTCAGTGTCAAAGAATTCAACGTTGTTCATCATTTAAACGAACAGTAATCAGGATAGGTATGAACATGCACAAGCAGATGAGAAGAGGTGGGCTATGTACAGGATCAGATTAATGACATCTCATCCCTCCACCTGCAACGATCCGCAGCAGACGAACCTTGTCCACATGCGACACAGTGTCCATTCGATGCGACTCGCCCACTACTGAGACAAGAGTGTGTTTTATTTTTAAATTCTTGGCAGTTTTGGATGATAAGAATTTGGAGTGCAAATGACAACAAAAGAATAGCAGTCTTCGTGGCAGTGATGCAATCATGGACTTACGTGGTAGCTGGCTGACTTCATCCCAATTGCGACGCTGAAGTCTTCTGGCCGCAGTGTCGGTGCGAGTCGGCTGCCGTATTGTCATCTCAGCGACTGGCTTTCCGTTGTCATCCACGTCCGAGCACGTCCTCCTCGGGGACATGTCTGTGTCCGGCTGTGCTTGTTTCTGGACAGCGCCATTGTTTATAAAAGCGAAGATATGAGTTTCAGGAACTGTTTGATAGGAAGAAGAAGAGAATACTGTGGGCGTTCTCAATAACATGTCACCATCAGTGGCGAAGTGTACGGTTAAGGCCGTATCTGCATGTCTATAGGGAGGAAGTTGGAAGAAGTCGATCAAAAATCCACAAGTTTACTCAGGCTTTAATATGATTGAAAAACATTTGCCGTTTTTAGCCCTTCTAAATGGCAGAATAACATTCTGGAGACGTTCTTCGTACATGAATTCCAAGGGAGAAATTGAAAGATTTGAGGCTTTATGTGTGTCGACAGTTTATAGCAGTGATGAAAGAGGAACCCTACGAACGATAAGGCAACAATCAAAGTCAGTGTTGGGACCAAGGCAAGAATAACATCTGCAGTTGGAGAAGTTAGTTGGATTTGTAAAGCAACATATGCTTCTGCACAGACAAACAATAAATTTCGTTGGCTGCCTACATTTGTAGAGTTAGAAAATGTGAGCAACTACACTAAGATGTACAGTGAATGAAACGATTTTTCGAGTTGCATGAACGACGTTAATAAGTGCACGTACGAGGTGACAGGTTAATTTAAAAATGTTAGGCCCACCGATGGAAACAGAACACGAATTCCGGCGCAACGCTGCCAAATGCCGACAGACTACATACGCCCGGGTTTTTGCAAACTTACTCAATCGCAGAGGAATGAAAACGGAGGCCCCCATACAACAGCACCTTGCTCGACCTTTTCTGGAGCGATGGAGAGGGCGATGACAAATCCACCCAAATTGTACTCTATCTCGTCGGCCCACTGAGGCTGTTCATGCCATAACGACGGCGGGAATACGTAGCTCCTCCCAACGCATTCGGAGTTCTCTCCTCTCCAAATCCCCGAGTTTACGTTAACAGACGCTCTTCAGTGTCAAAAAGACCTTGTCAGGATAAGTAAGAAAGTGGGGAATCAGATGAGAAAAGTTGAGCTATATACAGAGTCAAATCAGTGGTGTATTATTCTTCCACACGAAAAGACTCGCAGCAGAGGAACCTCCTTCACATGCGACGCAGTCGTCTTCCAGTGCGTCTCGGCCGCTTCTGTTCCAACACCATGCTTGGTTCTAAAATTGTTGACATCGGTGAAACGAATGAAGAAATTACAGTGCAGATAACAACAACAACAACAACAACAACAGAAGGATTAGAGTGGTCCATTAATGACCTTTTCATGGCAGCGAGGCAATCATAGGCTTACATGATAGCCGACTGACTTCTTTCCAAATGCGCCGTTGTCGTCTTCTGGCCGCAGTCTCAGGAAATGCTGGCCGCCATACAATTCTCTCGGTGACTGATTGTCCCCTCTCTTCTAAATGCGACCACGTCCTCTCCAGGAGCACATTTTTGTTCGGCAGGGTTTCTTTACACACGGTGTCCTCGTCTTCGGTACAGTGCTTTAGGACCGGCGTGCAATTGTTCAGTTCACTCTCCATCTCGCTGTCTTCAAAAATCTCATCCAGGTTCAATTCTTCCGCCTTCTCCTCCTCTTCTGAAACCTCTTCAATAGTGTAGAGGTCTGGTCTAACGGCCACCTTTCTAGCCATTGGAGACGCATATTCAACAATGTTGCCTGTGTTTGAGAAGAAAAGAAGACAACATTGAGCCAAACTGGGCGGGTTAGGCACTGCTGAATGGAAGTCGGAGATTCATTTACTTCCGCCCATCTGTTCGACTTCGCTCTGCCATGGCGTATACTCCTCGGTTGTCCCCACAGCTAAAGCCGACCCTCGTTTTTCGTGGTTACACAATGCAGGCATCCTTATTACCACTTCTCCGCCAGAGGCCGAATATTCGGTTGACGGATTTACTGCATCTCTCTAGGCAGGAAATCAGAATTCTTTCAAACATCCGCAAGATTTTCCACGCGTTAATATGACTGAAAAAATAAGCATTTGTAGAGTCTTGCACACGAAGCACTGACCTTCTGGAAGTCTTTACTGGAATTTCTATGAAGGAATTTCGCGATTTGCAGAACGCTGTTTGCCGACAGATTACAAGAATGATGGGAGAGTAACCATAGGCATGACGATGCAACATTACTGTCCGGCAGTGCATGTTTATCCACGGTGTCGTTGTCTTCGGTGCACTGATCTGGGATAAACGTGAAATTGTTCCCACCACCCTCCATCTCGATCTCTTTATACCCTCATCCAGGCTCAATTACTCAGCCTTTTCCTCCTCTTCAGAGACCTCTTCGATTGTGCAAAGGTCTGGCCTGACGGCCAACTTTCTTGCCATTGAAGGTGTACATTTCTGGAAGCTGCCTGCTCACTGTCTGCTGTCTTACTTTCCGTTCAATTTATTTTACAGGATCAAATACTAATGAAGTGTTTGTTGTGGACCAGGCGGTGCGGAGGTACTACCAAGTGCACATCCGGCCGCGTAAGTCACCTGCGCCCTCTCCCGTCTTCGACCTTCTCAACTATGGCTTGGTACCCGACTCATGCGGGGCGAAGCGAGTGCGGTGGTTGCTGTGCAAGTCTACTGACGCTATAAACTACTTCAGGCAAAGGTCACTGTGTCCCCATTTCACCCCTCCACCACTGTCCGTTACTGGATGCCTTCAGCGCCAGAAAAGACGTAGTAAGAATGTAACAACAATAGAATTCACTTGCAGAAACAGTAATCAGTATAGATACAAAATATGGCAATCAGAATAGACGATTTGGGCTATGTACACAGGATTTAAATCAATGACGCATTATGCCTCCACCTGCGACAATCCGCAGCAGAAAAACCTCCTCCAAATGCGACGAAGTCGCCTTTTAATGCGGTTTGGCTGTTTCTGATCCAATAGCATGCTCGATTCTAAAATGGTTGACATTGGTGACAGGAATGTACGGAAGTAGAGTGCAGATGACAAAAATGGAAGGAGCATTGGAATAGTGCATTAATGACATCTGAATGACAGCGATTCAATCATGGGCTTACCTGATAGCCGGCTGACGTCCTTCCAGTTGCGACGTTGGCGTCTTCTGGCCGCGGTATCAGGGCATGTTGGCTGACACGCCGCTAACTCAGCAACTGACACACTGCTGTGTTCCACTCGCAAAATCGTCCTCTCCAAGGGCACATTTGTGTCTACCAGTGGTGGCTTCTGTGCAGTGCCGTTGTCTTCTGTACTTTGATGTGGAAACAGCGTTGGTTCTTCTAGCCCGTTCTCCTCATCGTCCTCCTCTTCATAAATGTCGTCCCAGTTCAGCTCCTCCGCCCTTTCCTCCTCCTCCTCGGATACCTCTTCCATGGTGTAGGGGGTTGGCCTAATGGCTATCTTTCTAGCAACTGAGAGTGGACATTCCTCGACGCTGCCTTGTGGAGAAGAAAAAGAAGGCAGTGTTGAGCCAAACTTGGCGAGTTTGGTAATGCTGAATGCAAGTCAAAGATGCGCTTACTTTGTTCCGGCTCTTTGACTGTGAACTGCAATACCGCATTTTCCTTCCCCGGAGCCCCAACTTCAGTAGATTCTTGTGTTTCGCAGCCAACCGTGATGGGCGTTCTCACATCCTCGTCGGCATCATTAACCGCTTGTCCGGTTAACTGCCTAACGACTGGTCTGTAAGCAGACAAATAGAAGAAGTCTTTCGAACATCAACGATGTCTGTCGGATGTTAGTAGGATTGGATATAAATGAGCATTGAACATAATGCACAAACCTTCTGGAAACATCGCCAGCATTGGAAGTCGGCGGACGCAATTGTGCAAATTGTAAAATTGTGTGTATTGCCGGTTTCCAGCAATGATTGGAGAGTTGCAACACGCATGCAATCTGAATGTATATTGAAATCGAGGCAAAAACAACATATGCAATGGAAGAAGTGTGTTGGATTTGAGGAAAATGTATTGCTCACCGGATTGGGGGACTTTTCTGGCTGACGTTTCGAAGAGCTGGGGCTGCTCTCCATTGTCAAAGCGTCAAGTGGAAAAATCGATCAGAATTTTTAAATAAACTGCCGGATTTGTTAAGCAACATCTCCTTTTGCACAGATGACAAGTAAATTACGTAGACTGCCTACATTTTTAGAACCAGAAATAATAAGCAAATAGACTAAGGCGTATAGGGAATGAAAAGATTGCCGGAGATACTTGAATGACGTTAAGAAAAGCACTTACCAGGTGATAGGTTGATTAAGAAGTGCAAAACAACAGTGTGGATAGGGTGGGAGAATAAATCAAGAAGAAATAATGCGCAGACGTTTATCAGTAGCATCGGTGGCCAGAGATCAGAAAGCCGTTGGGCGCTCGCCATCGCAGAGTGCTTGCTGTGTTTGAATGACAGGGTGATTATTGATCGTGCGCAGGTCGGCGTTCAAATGGTAGCGTGAGAGTGCGGAGGTCGAATGTTTGCATGGGTGCGCGGGCCTCAAACACTAAGTAGTGAGGAATCTGCTGTGATAGTAGCAGGCAGGTTGTGTCTCAGATATGGCCAGCCACTAAGTGGGGCATTTGAAGTTCTTCTTCATTTCGCACTTCTTAGGTACCTGGAATGCGGGGTTTAGCGACACCGCGATCACCATCTTGTCCCTGTGCTAGTGTGTTTGGTTAGCAACGGGGGTATTTAAATGTTATGGACCTCTTGCGACTGGGAAATAGCTCTCAGGAAATCAGCAATCTGCCCTAATCTAGAAAACAGTCTTACGTAAATGCTGCTTTCAAGTCTTGGAAGCGAGTGACGCACACATGCGTCGAGTCGCAAACAGTGCCGTGGGAGGGAGAAGTTGAAGGCCATAGCCCAACATGGTTGTTTTTTGTCATTCCAGAGCCTAGTGTGTGATGGGGTAGAATTGTGGCCCACGTAGTTAGCTTGTGAAACGTGTTCTACGATGGACTTCAGACTGCACCAACGATGCCTGCAGTGGGTTACCATGACGTAAATGAAATATTTCTCACGAATTAACGAACGATATCTCACAAGCCCTATGAAAGAAAAGCAGTAAGTAAAACCGGTTCCTGAATAAGATGAATATTTAACACGTCAAATGACATGAGAGTGGTATACGCCAGCGAAATCGATGTGGTCCCGCAGCATTATGTCCGTCACCCTAAAATGTTCGTTTCTCCGTTCCTGGGTACCACTGTCAGTCATCAGGACTTAATTAGATTCTCTAAGTATATACAATAAAACACGATAAGCAGCCTACCAACAGCCAATTGGCACCCTCCACCCTACCGTTGTTAAAACCCGCAGTACAGTGAAAGAAAACGGGAGGGGATTGTCAAACGTGAATTGGTCTGGTACCTCGGCAAAACACATAAATGACTACTGTACTGACCATTTGCAAATACTTTAATCTAGTAGTGCTTGACAGCAGAGCACTCCAGCGATTCGCTAAAAGAAAACGGGAGGAGATTGTCAAACGTGAATCAGGCTGGCACCTCGCCACAGTGCCCCCTTCTAAGACCGGAGGGTGACATAAAATGACCCCGTAGGATATGCATAAGTGTAGAAGAAATGCGTACCCAAACGATCAGGAGAATGGACGTGACGACCACTGCGAGCGATATAAGCAGCACGTACAGTTAAAGAGGATTGAGTGCGTACTGCTGTGGAAAAAAATTAGATGTTTTGGGCGCTGGAGACATGTATGGAGAGGAAGTATGAGGGATGGTGGGAAAGAGGGTATGCGAGGGGAAGGAGAAGGAGTAGGGAAGGTGAAGGAGCACGGGATAGCGGAGATGGACGAACACCCAACCATACCGTCGGTGGTGGGCTGCCGTCGGGACGTGCAGGCGACCTAGAAAATTGAGGAGGGTTTGGAATGGAAGAGACTGAATTTGAGCCCCACGTTCAGCCCAAATCGGGGATGGGGCACGGAAAATAACGTTCGAAAGACTGACGAAGGCCTTCGTGATGGGTTCAGCCTGTAAATTCGGCAAAAGGGATGGCTTCAGCCAAACGGATGTACCGATCAAAGTAGTTAAGGTGAGGGTA